AGACTTGAGTTGTAGTCCAGATTTCATATATTCTTTCCTTCTGCTACTCTATTACACATTCCCCAATTATGTTTTCCTAGTTATACACACAACTACATAAAAGATTTCAAATATTTTTCCTAGATTTAGTAACAATACACATTTTAAGTCCCACAAAAAGGCTGTTTTCCAGGATTGCAGCAACTGGGCAAAGCCTCATCCAAAGGAATTGGTTTGTAAACTCAATGAAAAATTCCTGCCTAGCCAATTATATTTCTTTTCAGACTGGCATGCATTTTCCCATTTAGAACAGGAAAGAGGAAGAAAGACAAAGCCCCAGCCAATCTGGAAAGTGATTGTGTTCTGGGCAAAATCAGTTTCAAACACCAACAACTTTAGCAAAGAAGAAAATTTTTTTTTTCCCTTTCTCACCACTCAAGTTTCTCTATAACATCATATGAAAAGACAGGATTGTCTTTATTCTTTCACTAGAACAAAGTATGGTATTTGCCAAACTCAGTGTTTCTCCAGTGTATTTGACTAGAGTCAGGTTCCCATGCTCCAAAGACATCTGTGAAGGATGCTTCTTTTTAAAAAAAAATTCTTCCTGTCTAAATCTAGGAAAGGACTCTAGGTGAAAGTACACTATGAATGTTAAATGCAGTTTGCACAGATCTGTGCAAAAAGACATGTTATAATATTTTCATTTTGGATGCAAGCACTAAAGGGATGCATAGTGAAGCAAAGCATGAAGTTACATTGTGGTCCCAATTACTAATAAATCATTTTAAAATTCTACTGTGCTTTTTAAATTTTTCTAAGATTATTGCTCACTTCTAATCAGAACAGGCTTGACATATTTTTAAAATAATAAATGTATCCTCAAAGTTAAACCTTCCCATATTGCATTCTTTGATATAGACCTCACAAGGTGATCAATAAAAATTTCAATTTATACTGTTGATCATGCTCCCTTATGTTTTGAATTGATTGAAAAGTGGAATATAGGTCTCTTTTTCAATAAACATTAACTCCAAGCAATTAACCTCTCTCTAAAAGAATCAGGGGTAGATCAATGGAGGAGTTATAATGTGAGTAAACAGTTTGCAGTGGCAGCTTTTATAGGAAACTACAATTTCAGGTGCAATTGTGTCTGCAGAACAAAGGTAAGAATATACTTCCTTATGTTTCAATTACAATCATGTTATATATTACTCAGCATTATCTTGGGAATTTGGAAGAATATCCAGTTGCCAAATATTATTCCAGTCATTAAAAAACGGGGGGGGGGGAGAAAACTCCAGCCAAAAGTGTTCAAAGATAACATTGTTTTTGCTGCACTTTTAATTACGATACCAATTTCCAATGGAAATACCCTGATCTAGGATAAACCTATAAGGCAATATAAACAACATCAAGAACTCTGGAGAAAGGCAGCTGCTTGTAAGATACACTGGAAAGAAACTGGTGATCACAAGCAGATTAGTCCATGGTGGCAGTGACACAAGCTAAGCAAGAGGTATGGATAATCTGGGTAAGTGCCATGGAAAAATAAATATCATGATTGGACTTCAGGCAAATGGAAACATTTCAAATTGGCTTCCTACAGTATTCTGTGGAACATATGATGTCCACATGTCCATTACCAACTACTTCAGCACAGAACACAATAAAGGCAAATGCTGGATATATTTTCAAGATATTGCATTACAAGCCTCTCTCAAGACAAAACAGAATAAATTAGGGGAGGGTCAAATTTGCAATGCTAGCTTGCTTATACAAAAGGCTGGCAATCCTTTCTTGGAGCACCACCAGGGTTGAAGCCTTTTTGGAAAGCTGATGTGGGTGTAATTTAAAGAATAAAGGAAGGAACATTAAAGTTATTCCAGAGTTAGATTCCAACTGGGCTTCAGAGGCTTTCCCTCTATTTTTTGCTATCCTAAATACTTGCAGGTTGATACAGATTCTATATTCCTTAATTCTTGGTATAGAACATGTATGAATGTCTTACATCCAGACACAATGCATATATGAAATTCATTCATCAAAGTATGCTTTGCCATTTTGGGTTTTCCAGAATTATCCATATGGGAACTATAGGTATGGAATGTGTTTGTGTTTATATGCACACATACATACAAGCACACGAGCACACATACATATGCTTAAGAGCATTTTGAAGTAGTGTGTGTTTTTACTATCAAATTTGTCTATTAACATGACCTTTGAAACATTAAATGCATGCAGGCATTAACCTTAATATCAGAAGATGTCTTACAGTCAGAAAAATGAAACGTCAAATAGGTGATTCCCTGCCCGAATTTATACCCCCATAATATTTCTCTTCAAAACACTTTTCTCCCAATATAAATGCAACACTGGTATGCAACACTGTTCGAGCAGAAAAATGCTTGGGGAAAAGAAAGTTCAAGTGGAAAGAATTTCAGCTTTCACTATTCATGCAAATGTTGTTCAAGACACAAACACCCAGTCCAGTCTTAGTTTAAATATGTTAAACATATTTAAGCAGCTGTCATTACATCTGCCTGAGTCTTGGAATTTTGTTTTAATTTAGAACATGGCACCATAATCTCCAACAAACTAGCAGAGTGCAGTGGTTAAAGTTTTGGAGTAGCATGAAGAGGACCCAAGTTTGTGAGCTACCCTCAGCCACAGTAGTTCACAAGCTGACTTTGGGTCAATCACTGCTTTACATACTAATAACATTTGTATAAGTCTCACCACAGAGAGAAAAATAAAAGGGATAGATCATTATGCATACCTACTTTAGGCTATGGAAGGAAAAGTAGACTATAAATGTAAATTAATCTTTAAAATCTATTATGAATCCAAAATTTGCAGAAATGCGAAAAAGCTTTACAACCAGTTTACAGCACTTTGATTGTCACCACCTTGCCAGCCACAAGAATGTGTTCTCTTTATATAAAGAACGGATGCATATTCCCATAACCGTAGCCCTAAAGTTCTTTTAATAGTGTCTTTCAACCCGAAATCCTTTCCTTACCTTTGCACAAGTTTTAGCACAACTCCTTGAGTAGCTAGTGTGTGGTTAGAAAGAGGAAGCTATGCTTGTTTGCATGGAATCTGCTATTTCCGCCCCTGCCAAAACACTTGTTTAAAAAGTCATGTAATATCTCTATTAGACTGTAAATGCAATTGACAAGGAAATGGCCTACTGACAAAGCATTACCTTTGTGGCAGCGCCAACCAGCCTACAGCAAAATAGCATACAGAATAACTTCAACATGCATTCCCAAGTAACAAAACAGTGTTTTACATAAATACCACAGAATCTAAGCAAGATCCAGAAAAAGCAATGAAAGTTTGCCCAAGCTTTCATGCTTGCCTGTATCAATTGAATGTCTTAACTAAAACAAAATAGAAAAGCATCTACATATGTCCAGGAATCTTATGAAGTTGGATCATATAACACTGGGAAAACTATCACAACTGAAATCTGTGTATTTCTTCTTAACCACTGTAACAAGTCACTAATAAAAATTAAGAAGAACTATGGGGTATCAAATATACAAAAGAATATTAACTGCATACAAGCCCTTAAAGACCAGAACACAAATTATTAACAAGAACATGTGTTGTGCCTAAAAGAGAATTGTTTTTTAAAAAAATGGTTTTGCCCTTTAATACATTTGATTACAAGGATTAAAAAGTTTCGCAATCTGTCAGTTTGAAAAATTGACCCTTTAGCTAAAAGTAGCTATTTCATACTAAAAGAAATACTTTTAATAATATAATTCTTTTCATCATTTAGTGCCTCTTATAAGCAACTATGTTAAAATTATTCCAGATAGTCTCAAGAAAACATGTTATTTATTTCATTGATATGCCACCCTTCTGACAAAGAAGGCGACTGCGCAGTTTACAAACAGTAAAAAGATAAATGTAGAAGAATAAAAAGTTTTTATTAAATGAAAAGTGTTGTTTAACCATTACAGACGATATTCAGCATTAATGTGAATGTTGTCTATTTCTAATAGGTCTTATTATGAATTGTTGGTTCATAGTTGCCCAATAGTTGGGTTCCGACATTGCACTAAGCAATAAACTATGATTTACAAACCACAGCTGCTGGATTCATACAATACAGTATGTTCCTACTATTGCAATCAAGCATTTTTCCTTACTAAAAGGACACAAGAGCAGAAACTAAATGTTAGAAATAATATCTTTAACAGCCCAAGCATAGATTTAAAGCTTTTGTCCAAGGTTAAAACAGTAGGTGTTTAAACCATACTCCGTCATGTGATGAGACTTATACAAATGATTTTGGAGGAAATAATGGCCCAACAGAAATATGTGAAGTCTTGGGTTTAGAGTTAAAAAATATGTAATGTTCCTCTCTCTCTCTCTCTCTCTCTCTCTCTCTCTCTCTCTCTCTCTCTCTCTCTCTCTCTCTCTCTCAAGTAGCTACAGTTTAATATCTGAGACTATTGATAACAATTAGTGTCCTTTCTAATTCTGAATTAACTAATATTGCCTATCAGCTCAAGAAAGAACGTCTTGCCAATATCACATAAAATGGCACGTCCATCCCTAACCTTTGAAAAAAACCACAATATTTATCAGCTATAATATTTAAAAATTAAATATTGTGCTGTGCTGAATGGGTAAAATTACTATCCCTTGGGAATGCTAGCTGTACTTGTACCAAAATGACAACTCCTAAAATGTCAAAATTGGCCAACACTTAAAGCAAATGTCAAAAAGGAATAACAATAAATGGCATTTTGAAAAATAGTTGCACACTTAAAATGCATTACACAATTTAAAACAGCTATTATTTATCCCAGACCCTGTTTGAAAACATTCTTTTATTTAAATATCAGAAGCATAGCATAAAATACTTTAACACCCTCTGTCACTGTAACAATTGCAGAAAAAACAGAGTCAGCTTAGCCAAATACTGCTTCTACTTTTCAATGAAAACAGTGTACAAAGTTTTTCTAATTATAGAAAAACTCACAATTTCTGTTTCTTACCCTCATTGGATGAATATCAGCATACGGTGGCTTTCCTTCAGCCATTTCTATTGAAGTAATACCAAGGGACCAGATGTCTGCCACACAGTTATAACCAATTTCTTGTATTACTTCTGGAGCCATCCAAAATGGAGTACCTATGACAGTATTGCGTTTTGCCATTGTATCCTGTAAAACATTTTTTTAACTTAACACAAAATGTATAGCATTTTTGAAGTGATGATAGCTCAACATGCTACCTGCATGGAAAGAAAATCACATCAGCCACTCTATAATCATGAAGCATCCACTGAACCTACACTTATCAACAAGTATCAAAGGATTTTCTTTAATAGTTTATCACTCAAATGTTGAAATCAATTTGTTCAATAGAGTCCTGCACTAAACTGTTTACATTCCGATCATTAGCAACAGCAATAGCACTTAGATTCACGATGTAAAAAAGAAGTTGAGACTCTAGAAAGAGTACAGAGAAGAGCAACAAAGATGATTAGGGGATTGGAGGCTAAAGCATATAAGGAACGGCTGCTGGAATTGGGTATGTCTAGTTTAACGAAGAGAAGGACGAGGGGGGACATGATAGCAGTCTTTCAATATCTCAGGGGCTGCCACAAAGAAGAGGGAGTCAAGCTATTCTCCAAAGCGCCTGAAGGCAGGACAAGAAGCAACGGATGGAAACTAATCAAGGAGAGAAGCAACCTAGAACTAAGGAGAAACTTCCTGACAGTTAGAACAATTAACCAGTGGAACAACCTGCCTCCAGAAGTGATGAATGCTCCAACACTGGAAGTTTTTAAGAAGAGACTGGACAGCCATTTGTCTGAAATGGTATAGGGTTTCCTGCCTAAGCAGGGGTTGGACTAGATGACCTCCAAGGTCCCTTCCAACTTTATTATTATTATTATTACATACTGCTCCATAATGCTCTACAGCACTCTCTGAGCAGTTTATAATGTCAAAATATTGCCCCCGACAATCTGGATCTATACAGGAAATCACTTTTTGGACAAAGCATTGAAAAATGCCCCTAAATAATAATGCAGCAACTGTACCTAACCAAGAACCTTAATTTTCAAAGCCTACATTACAGAAAAAAACTTAAGAGATAATGCACCTAAACCTTCTTTAGAGTTTTCCTGCTTAATGCTGCAATTCAAGAGTTCTCTGGACAAAGCTGCCTCTCCCAGTATATACCTCATATGAACTGTAAATAACCTCATAAAACTGATATCAAACTGATTTTAATTAGAAAAATAGTCAAACACGATGACCTGACTATTTAAAGACATGTTATCTTTCAAAACCCTCTCATATCTTATTACTGAAAAATAGCAAATACAATATTTGTTGAGTGTACTAGCATATAAAATATACTTTTATTTTTATACTTACAGTTAACTGTCCAGCTACTCCAAAATCAGCTAGCTTGGCATGCCCTTCAGTATTCAAGAGAATATTCCCAGCCTTTATATCTCTATGTATTTTTCTCATGAAGTGCAAATATTCAAGTCCTTTAAGGGTAGATTTAAGAATGGTTGCAATTTCATCTTCTGTAAGCTGTAAAGAAAATACCAAAATTTCTCTTTGGTACACTCACATTCCTATGTTTGCACATTTATACAAACACAGTGAATCAAACTACAACACAAAATTACTCATGTGGCATACAAATACTGTACAAAATGCTTTTAAATTGTAGGGAAAGCAAGACTTTATTAAGGACCCATTCATGCTATATGGATTGAATCTACATAAAACTGTGAATCAGTGAACAAGTTCAGGAAGGAGAAAGAGGCATTAACAACAAAGCAAACACTGCAGACAAAAACCTAAACAAATACAGTAAGAAATGCCTAAGAGACTGTAAGAATGTATGTCTGGATTTTGAATTGCATTCAATTTTCTGTATATTCTAAATGAAATTTAATAAATTTAGGAGGAAAACTCTTCAGATACTATAACTTTGGGATACAGAGCTACAGAACACCAACACATGAAACATAAATTTCAATATGATGGATCTGATTGCAAGATCGCAATTAGACCCGTTTCATAGATATGCAGCTATCCAATTATTTTTCTTAAGATTGCTCAAAATGTTCTGAAAAAATTTCATACCACATTTATTCTTTCTAAATGTTTATTCTATTTCTGCTTTAAATTTCATTTGGGCTTTACTATTTCTCTATATTTGTAATTTTATGGTGTATATGTGATTTTTTTAAAAAAAATTAGAATAGAATAGAGCTGGAAGAGATCTTGGAGGTCTTCTAGTCCAGCCCCCCGCTCAAGCAGGAGAACCCTCTACCATCTCAGACAAGTGACTGTCTAGTCTCTTTTTAAAAATCTCCAGTGATGGAGCGCCCATGATTTCTGGAGGCAAGCTGTTCCACTCGTTAATTGTACTCACTGTTTTTGTGGTGAACTCAATTAAAATTATATAAATGGAATGAAATAAAATAATATTGTATAAATAAAATTTGCCAATACCACCCAAAATCCCTAGATGTTACTGCAATAGAAATAAATCATTTTCCACAAAAGTTATTTCTAAATCAGCCATCTCTGATTTCAAGATTCATGTTTTAAGTGGTTTAAGTGTTTCATGTTTTGCTCCTTCAAGATACATGCCAGATTTGAAGAACAATTTGATCTGGCAATAAATTAAGTACTTCAAAAGTAAATTCAGGAAGGGAAAAATAATATTAAGATAATAAAAATAATACTAAGAGCAATGTATATAGAGATACCAGTCGGAACAAAGAATAGAATATTTTTTAAAAGCAGAGATATTTGTAACAAAGGGTCTCTTAAGGGACAACCAAAGAGTTTTTAATGTTAATGTTAATAAATATAAGATAGATATATTCAAGGATTATAGTCTCATTTCAGTTTTCTAAACATCTATGATGCAGAAAAATGGTCTCAGAATCATATCAGATCATGCAAGTGAAAATAAATGTAAGCAAAAATAAAGCAAACAATACAAACTAAGACTACATATAACTTTATTAGCAAAGGAGGAAGTCATCAGGAAGGATTGCCAAAGCAATAGAGGAATTTTTCAATTAAAATATCAGGGTAGAAGTGACAATTCTCTTCTACAGCATCAGCTTCAATTAAAAAGATCAATTAAAAAGATTTTTCTATTTACCCGAAAAGGCAAATAGAGTTAAAGGAAGAAACAATACAATTGTAGATAAATATCATTTCAAGTTTATAAACATATGCAACATTTAGGGATTTTCATTCTATATAGCCTATTTCAAATTATATATGTTGTATATTAAAGTCAAAGACTTAAGGCATGCCATCCATTAAATTTATCCATTTGAAGAAAAACTATATCTTTAAACATGATTATTACATTCTCTAACTTTATCTTTCTCAGACACTCTTAGTCTCCTTAATTAAGATTTTTTTTATCATGGCAATACATTTAAAATGTGTATTCAAAAAGAAAAGTTAGTTATAAATAGAAAACTACTATATCTAAAACCTCAAATTTCAAAACAAGTTGTTTTATTTTGTAATTTTCAAAATGAAACATGTTGCCTCCATCTTAAGAGATAAATTTTAAAGAATGGTATAAATTAAATTACACAATTTGTACATTTAAAATCTGAGTATAATCTTATTTGTGAGAAAATAAATTTAAAATGGCATGAGGAAAACTAAATCCCTTTTTGAAACAGTCTATCAAAATCTGACAAAGTATTGGCAAAAATTAACATCATCCCCTTCTCTACTAATGTTCTTTACAGGACATCAACATTTCTTCAAGAATTTAAAGGAACTATATGTTAATACTTCAAGGAGTCTATATAAACATGTCCCTAGAGCAAAAATTACAGATGTAGTATTTTATAAAATAAAAACTTACCGTTTTATTTCGTAATCTAATTATGTCAGAGACAGAACCAGCTCCACAGTACTCCATAACAATCCAGAGGTCTGTGTTCTTAAAATAGCTGCCATAGTACTTGACAACATAAGGGCTAAACATAAAAACATAGCTGTCAACATATAGAATTTAATCTTTAAAAATATTAGAAAGCAGTTCAATGTTTTTTCCCTGAGCAGCTGCAGTTTTTAAATAAGATATATTAATCTTCAAAGAATAAAAAAACTGCTGAGCACTTGAGAATGATAAAACACTCTTAACACATATTACTCACCAATTTGTATAAGAACACGTCTTTTAAAATATTTGTATAAGACAAGGGAAAGGGAAATATTCTCAACTTAAAAGTATCCATACACACTCCCAAGTAAGTGCAATTTGAAAAGTAGGTGGGTTTTTTTGAAGATAAAAACAAGTCTACCACCATCCAAAAATCTGTATGAGCAGATATATTTACTTAGAAGAGAGAGAGCCAATTTCCTCATTAGGAACAATCAGATGACCCACATGATTGTACAAACTTTTGAGTTTTTCCCAAAAAAATGTTATTAGGAAAATCCAGAAAGTAATCCAGAATTTAGCATGAGGTTTGTAATCCAGGCAATATACTGAGTCTACAGACTGAATGCTTCTGCATATAGCTTCCAGCACAACTACTGATCAACTGCCTCAACCATCACACTAATACCTTTGTCATTCCCAATTTCTAATCAGCAAGGGAGTTCCAGGTGCATGTTTGTCCACAATTCACAATTAATTGACTTTGTTCAAAATGCTCCCTAAAATATTTATTTGACTACCAAGTTATCTTGAGTAAAAACACCTGCTTTGTATGCAGAGGGCCCTAAGACCATTATTTCAATCTCCAAGTAGAGTTAGGAAAAAACAAATCATTCCTGAAGCTCGGCAGAATACCAGCTCATCAGCTTTAACAGTTTCTGGCTAGGTAAACTGTAATCCAACTCAACAGAAGTTGAGTCCATCCCTCCAGTGTTTAAAGCAATCAGACAACAAATACTGGATAATGGCAAATTCCTGAACCTAGGAGCTTTCAGGTTAGAGGGAACCTCTGTTTTTTTTTTTTTTTTACTACCAAATTAGGTGCATCTACTATCTCATACTAATACCATCATGACTTCTCAACACTGTTAAATAAAATACCTAACTCTAAATAAAAGTACTGTAACATTCTTATCAGAGATATATAGTAGACTTTAAACCTTCCACCTTACAACTGTGTTATTCCTAAGATACAATACTTTGGGACCATCACCCTAACAAATTCTGACAACCTTACCCTAAAAATTAACAACCTGCAATAAAAGGACTGATTAAAGAACTGCCGAAGTATATGATATTTAAAAATTTAGAGTCAAGTAGTTTTCTTCCAATTTTCTAAGTCAGGTTGTTAGTCTTACTTTAACTACTGTGTGTTTTTGAGCATTTGCAATTTGTCCATAAAGATCTTTACTGATATAAAACAAACCTCAAAAGAGAAAGAGTTTTTTCTCCCTGCAAATATTTTACAAGGGAGCAATCCACCAATATTTTACTAAGGGCACACCCTTATCTTTGTTCATCACCTATAAATCACTGCCAACTTTGGCATGTAAAGAAACCCCACTTAATCCTTTGTAGTATATTGTCTACCTTTGCAATCTATCTGAAGAACCATTTACAAAGCTCCAATGTTACTCTTACACAAATAACTCTGCTATGGTGTCAGAAACTTCTGCATGTTAATATATTGGCTTTTTTCTCTTTGTTTTATTATCCTCAGAGTTTGTCTCAGTTAATAAATAAAAATCTAAGCATTTATTTGAAAATCATATTTACCAAAATTACAGTATAATTCCCAATCTGATATAAACACACTGAACATAAATAACATTTCCGTTAAATAACATTAAATTGAGAGCCATTGTATATGGAGCATACTAAATGGTACAGTTCTGCCCATTTAAAAATGGTTTTGTAAAAAGTGTAAGCACAATATCTCTTTTACCCATTAAAACAGGCCATTATTTTTCAAGCTATATGTGACCCTGTAAAAAGTTGCAGATGCCTTAAGGAATCATTAAAATCAATATGACTCTTAAAGCAGCCACTTTGTTTTCAGGTACAGATGGTGGTCTGAAAAAATGATAGAAGTAGAAGAGGCAAATACTGTGCTCACATGAAGCCCCAAAATGTCTTCCAAATCATTCCCAAGCATGCATACACCTATCTCCTGATTAAGTCAGTTCATAGGCATTCCTGCCCCACCTTACATAATAGTATATTTCATTAGACAACAGCTTTTTTATTTATGCACACACATTTCTTTTACTGGTTATTTCATTTCAATATTTATCTTCCTCCTGATTTTAAGGGGCAACATAGTTAAGACTCTGGGCTTGTTGGCTAGAAAGCCGGTAGCCCAGGTTTGAGATCTGAGCGCCTGAGCTCCTGCCAACCTAGCAGTTCAAAAGCATGCAAATGTGAGTACCACTTTGGTAGGAAGGTAAATAAACAGGTACCACTTTGGTAGGAAAATAACAGCACTCCATGACATCATGCTGGCCACGTGACTGTGGAAATGTTTTCGGACAGCGCTGGCTCAATGGCCTTGAAACGGAGATGAGCACCACCCTTTATAGTCAGCCACGACTAGCAGAGTAAAATGCGCAGGGACTTCTTTACCTTTTTTTTTTTTAACCTGATTTTAAGAATGATCGGTAAAAAGTTGCACATTTTAAGATGGACACAAATAGAACCAATTACCTAGGAAGGTAATAGTCTCCCTTAACTGGCTGTGTTCAAGCAGCTATCTGACACAAATATTCTAATTCTGTATTCTTGCACTGAACAGTGAATTGGTCTCAAAGACCTAAATTGCCCCTTTGAATTCTATAATTCTTTATCATATGCATCACATTTGCCAGTACTAAACATTTAAAACTTTTCATAAAACCAAGAAAAATTGCAACAGCTGTGTTTTCAGTTATCCTTCATCAGTTCATTTTATCCATTCAACTATAGCCAGCAAGTAAGAAAATGGAAAAGCAAAAAAAGCATCTAAATTTTTATCACCATCTTATCAAAAAAAATCAAGTGACCTTTAGGCTCTGCTTGCATTTTTAACACATCACTATCTAATAATTTTTTTAATGGCAGAATTTGCATTATAAATTGATCCTTACCTGTCACATTGTTGCATTATAGAAATTTCTTTAATTATTTCCTGTAGATCTGATTCAACAGGGACTTGCTTAATTGCTACAACTTGTCCAGATTCCTTATGAATAGCTTTAAATACACTGCCATAAGACCTGAAAGGGAAACATTAATTTATGTCGTTATTAATAAAATCACCATGCCCACTCAAGCCATTGATTCCAATAGTTTTTGCAATAAAAACATTTACTGCTTATACACTCCAAAGTTATGTAGTACAAGAGGAAAAATAAATGAGCTTGCATCACCATCAGAGTTCAATATGGCTTTTCATTACTTATCCATTGTATATTGTTACACAACCGTACATATACTTTATTTGTTAATTACTTTCATTTTGCACTAACTGCCTGTTTATTTTTGCTGTCAGTTCCTGTTCAGCAAAACAATGGAAAATAACGCCTCTCCTCTTTTAGTAACCAGTGGGGAATCTAATGACAGGAAGAAACCAGGAATCTATAAAGCTTTGATATTACTTTTCCGAGAATTGCTAGGAGAATGAGCCTGGATATCCCAATACATTCCCAGCAACCATATTAAAATTACTGTTTTTGGAAAAGTGCCTCCCTCTTAAGAATAGATTCCCCACATTGACTATGCTTGTCAGAAGCCAGCTGAGAAGGTTACAAATGGTGATCACATGACCCTGGGACAATGCAACCTTCATAAATACATGCCAGTTGCCAGGCACCCAAATTTTGATCACATGACCATAGGGCTACTGCAGTGATCATAAGTGTGAAAAACAATCATGTCACTTTTTTCAGCTCCGTTGTAACTTTAAACAATCACTAAACAAATGGTTTTAAGTTGAGAGCTGTCTGCATATAGTCGCGAAGAGTTGACACTGACTTGATGGCACATAAGCAATCAAACAACTAATACGCAAATCAATAGGATGTGAAGAGTACACACATTTTTTCTTAGGTTTTAGCTTTCTTTTAGACTTTTTGTATACACTTTCCACCAATATATATGCATTTTTGTAAATATCTGCCCACTGTGCTATTCTTTTAGGGCAGGGGTAGGCAACCTTGGCTCTTTTATGACTCGTGGACTTCAACTCCCAGAATTCCTGAGCCAGCCATGCTGGCTCAGGAATTCTGGGAGTTGAAGTCCACGAGTCATAAAAGAGCCAAGTTTGCCTACCCCTGTTTTAGGGTGATATGTTAAACACAGAAAAGGAGAATATAATTTTTAACTTAAAAAAAATAAAGACATAAAAAGAACAGGGTGTACAGCTAAATCTAGTTTGAATCAATACAATTTCCTATACCTGTCTGTCTTTCTACTCTTGCAAATCACCTCTCCTCTCATTATGTCCATATATTACTTCATTCCTTTTACTCTTTAAACTTCTCACCTCTTCTTTTTTGGAGGACCTCATCAATTTCTTTCAACCATGATGTTTGGTCTTTCCCTTTCTCTTCCCTATATATTTGGTCTGCAAGGTGATTGTCACTATATAAACAAACCTCAACATATTTTTTTCATATTTATCACTCACTTTAGTTCAATGTACATTTTTTTGCATATGTTAAATCACCCTGAATGCAGTAAAGTTAATGTAGATGCGATTGCTCATCTGGACTACTTTAGGTGCAACAGAATTATTCATTATTTCAAGAGGATATCCAGATGGAATTTGGTTTACTGTAGCTGACATCCATTAAACAGGGGTAAATTAAATCAATATTTCAGTATATCACGTCAGAAAGAATATTCAGATAAAGATTTTGCAGCAGCTTTCTTTATATTTTCTGTATGAGCCGTGGTGGCGCAGTGGTTAGAATGCAGTACTGCAGGCTACTTCTGCTGACTGTCAGGCTGCCGGCAGTTTGGCAGTTCAAATCTCACTGGCTCAAGGTTGACTCAGCCTTCCGTCCTTCTGAGGTCGGTAAAATGAGGACCCAGATTGTTGGGGGCCTTATGGTGACTCTGTAAACTGCTTAGAGAGGGCTGTAAAGCACTGTGAAGCAGTATATAAGTCTAAGTGCTATTGCTATTTTATTCATTAGTAAAACTTTTCCAAAAGGCTGCAAAAAAAAGCTGATTTTTAAAAACTTTAATATCATATTAACTGGAAAAAGAAGTTTATTTATTTTATTTTATTTTATTTATTTATTGGATTTTTTACCCCGCCCTTCTCCTTGCGGACTCAGGGCGGCTAACAGCCTGATAAAAACAAATACAAAAAATACCAAAATACTATCATTAAAACATAATTAAAAGGAAATATTAGATTGGCCTTTGTTATTTTAAAATTATATTTAAAACCCCCCTAAAAATTACCCCTTAGGCCAGTCCTGCTAGTTGAAATAGCCATGTCTTAAGGGCGCGGCGGAAGGAAGGGAGATCCGGGATCACCCGGATCTCTGGGGGTAGTTCGTTCCAGAGGATGGGAGCTCCCACCGAGAAGGCCCTCCCCCTGGGGGTCGCCAGCCGGCACTGTCTGGCTGACGGCACCCTGAGGAGACCCACTCTGTGGGAGCGTACCGGCCGATGGGAGGTAATCTGAGGCAGAATAGTTCAATAGTATTTCATTCATTTGGGAACTTAACTAGAACTTATCTAGAAAAAAAAACAACTAATTTCAGCTGATAATAATAGCATGATATCCTCTCTTGCCACAGCTTCATCTACTGTCACGTATGCTCCAAATCCCTCCAGGCCTCAAAGCAGGTTTTAAGGGGGAGGAGGCTTCAAAGGGAAGGAAGGAAAAAAAATATTATCATGTAAACAAATTTCCACTTGCACAATACCAGAATTCACTTAATGTTAATTATTTTTCTTAATTATTTTTCTTCATTTTTTTTAATTAAAAAGTGTTAATCAGAATTAACATTTATCTAACACAGTTCTCAAAGTGTGGTCTGATGATCCCCTATATATCAATAAACATAAGCTACATCAGCCAAGGGAAAAGTATGTATTGTAAAGAAAAATAAGGCTACTGGACAAACCATCTTAAATTGGTAATGCCAGGAATTCTCCCTTTGAAAGAACCAGTGCTCACACGGCACAGCTCACCCCATGGAAAGGCTGACCACAGTGAGCACACAATTACTTATATTCCGGCAATCGTTGTAAATGCCTTCCTAGTCATTGCAAAGAATGCTTAAAAGTCCCCTGCAGTGGCTCCATTGGGATTGGTGTTATCACAGTTTTAACTGGTGGTACGGATCCTACTGTCTCTGTCTTCATCCATCTTTCTCTTCTATAGTAGGTGCAAGATAGACAGATATTGAAATGGGGAGAGAGAAAGCAGTCCTCAAAGTTATATGCTTCTGGAGCGCTTATCCAATGAACAAGGGAATACAGCAGCATGGTAGGTTTCCCACAATTATAACTGGATCTGTGGAAAATATTAGTTAACTTAGAATATATATATATATATGGTCATTCAGTGACCATTCAAACTTACAACAGAACTGAACAAATGGTACTTAAGATCAGTCCTTGTACTTACCACCTCCGAAGCGCCTAATCACATGACTACAATTTACAACCTTCTCTGTCGACTTCTGACAAGCAAAGTCAAGGGACGAGCTGACAAAACGTGGCAAGTTGCAGTCATGTAAGATCCTTGCTTAATGATGAAAACTAGAACTGTCAGAACTACTAACAAATACTCGCAATCATATGATGTTTTGACTTACAACCACATTGCTTAATGATGAAAGTTTCCGGTTCCAATTAGCATAATTAAGCAAGGACTACCTATACACAAATCTCATTAGGCTAGCTGGATGTAGCCAGTCCAAATATGGAAGATTTTTCAACTCAAGATCAAGCTCACTATCTTCCACCATGTTTGCATGATACATGTTTTAATTTTCCCTAGCCATCCGTACATCTCTACACATACAAAATTGTACATACCCTTCACCAAGCTTCTCCAAGACATCAAATACTTCTTCAGGCTGTTTAGTCAAGCTGTCTTCACTGAGCTTTTTAAGCTTGCTAATAAAAATATAAAAACATTTGAAATAGTCTACAATTAGTAATTTGCAATTTACTTTCATCTTTAATTATTAAATATACACTTTTATTTTCTTTATAATAAATAGAAATCTGCAAGAGTTTCAATATGCACCACATACTTTCTAAAAAAAAGACTAAGGTAACTTCTATTATTTTATTTAACTATAATTATTCTCAAAACACAAATTGAGGTGTTAATACGTTAATGTCAAAATTACAATTCTTAAACACAAGTGCATCCCATTCAGAAGTAATCAATTTCCCACTTGAAAGCAGTTTTAATGGACAACTAAGCACACAAAGGGGAAATAATACAAGCAAGCAAATCATAGCTTGGGGAAGAGAAAATTTGGACAAAAGGAAAGCAAATCAACAGTTTTGCAATTGACTGCTACTTTACTCGTTTTTTTGGGAAGCCATCAAACTTGGCTATTCCAGAGAGCCTTGGGAATAGAGATGAGGGGCACATGTCTGTTATAGGCAGGAATGCTGTTGTTTGTTCCCTAAGACATTATTGCTTTGGCTTTTTTGCTTTCTCATTGATATTATTAATCAACATCTCTATCATACTGCAAGCTGCTCAGTATCCCACATGGATTGGAGCACTAAACTAAACTAAAATTCAATGGTATCCTTTTTCATATGTGCTACAAATTCTAACACAGAAATTAGTCCACTATAATACATCATAATTCATAACATTGAAAGTTTGTATTTGTCATTTATTACAAATCATACACCTCTCTTACAGAGAGCTTTGAAAAGCTGTTTGATCTTACATAAACAAGACAAAATGAATCGCAAGGCAGTGTAGCCCAAGATTGATAAGACTATTTACCACAAGACAACACAAAACATAAAAGGGATAAATTAAGACCAATGTGATACACTTCAAGAATTATACAAAGTGGTGTTTGGTTTCTTAGATTATAAAATTATAAAATCCATGAACTAGAACAGGGGTTTCCAACCGGGGGTGCGAGATGATATTCCAGGTGTGAAAACTTGGGTTTTCAGAATTATAGTGTATATGCATAATTTGTTGCCGTTATTTCAAACTTTTGTAAGGAGTGCGAGAATATATCAGAAGCTTCTAGGGGTGCGGGGTATAGAAAAGGTTGGGAGCCCCTGAACTAGAAGAAATACTCTGTCTCTGAATCACCCCTTAAAATAAGCTATACTAATGTCTCTCCAATTTAAATTTGGACAGATGTACTTAGATTTACCAACGTGGTCTGGATTTGTCCTACTATTATGACATATGAGGCAGAAATCTGACTTGTTAATACATCTATGGAGTAATCACTATACATTAAAGATGAGGAATCAATCAGGAACCAACTTCTTTGGATGCCTGTGACATGGATCAATCAGTTATCAGTTGACAAGTCCAAATCAAGAGCTCAATCAGCCCAGATCAGCTGCTGTGAACTGCCCAGAGACTAATCACAAAGCAATTCCCTCTGTCCCTGAAAATGTCATGCAGTTGCTGGCAGAATATCAAGACAAAATAAAACTAGACCACAGTCATTCAGCCCAAAAGTTCATCACTGCTTCATTGTCTCCAGCCTTTCAAGGACTGCTGGTTCTTAATTTGTGCTTATATGTTGTAAGACTTTATACAAAAACCTTTTTTCCAATTTATAACCAAGATAATGTTCACATTTATTCCACAAAACAGCTTTTAAAAAAGAAACTAAAATGCCTCTGTACATGAACTTCCTTTTTTTTTCTTCAGAATATTCATATGCTCAGAAGATAGATACCATATATGGCTATGTGGATTCATGCTAATAGTATACTTTATGTGCTACTTTGGTTTAGGTTTAACAATGTTATTCCTATTTTTAGTGCAGTGTATATGTGCACAAGGGTATGATTTCAATGTTGAGTATACAAAGCCTGAATATAGCCTACTGTACTAAAACAGCATCTAATTTTTAGGGTCAAAAATTCTCATATTTTGCTCGTTATCTCATCTTTTCTCAAATTAAATAGCAACAAATACCTGATATGGTCACACATATCATAAAACTAACACTGGGTATCCTGCAACTTCCATTCAGAAGCACACCAGTACAGTTGACAGGAAAAGAAAAACTTAAGAAAGAATCCACAGAGATTCTATTAAATTACTGAGGGCCAATATAGAAAAAAATAAAGAGCTGTATTATAGCATTATGTTGAATACAAATAAATGGTCTTAGTTTATTTCTAGCATCTCCTTGGTATTTGAAGTCCTTCTTCCAACAGTTCAATCATTCATCTGCATGGAATTTCTGGCCAACTATGCTGCTGTTCAACTACAAGGCTCAACTGAAGGTAGAAGCCCTTAATTCTTACCAAGAACAGAAAAACATACTGTAAAACAAACTGTAAAAAACAAGCTGTATCAGAAACATTCCAAAGGAAAGTTCCAATAACTAGTATAGTCAAGGCTCATATAATTTACAGAAGGGAAAATAAACAGGATGACAGTTTCTGGAAGTGAGGAAATTGGAATTTAATCTAGATCTAAAATGACAGAGGGAAAAAAAGAGCTGTAGGTGCTTAATCATAGCCAGCTTAAAGATTGAATATACTCATTAACCTAAGCAGCACAGGATAAAAAAAACATTAGGCACACCCACTAATATCAATTTCCTTTTTAGTGTAGTTGCATAGCAATATGGAAACTCAATATATAAATTATTTTCTTAAGTGCCACCAGTCATTCTATCCAAGAGCCTACGTCCCACCATGACAGAAATAAATAGCTTATCCTTCAGAAGATTGTTTATATGTTTATAGGCATTGTTATTTATTATAAAACACCTTAATCTTTAATGACTTACCCCATGTTCTACCTGGATTAGTTTTGAATCTCCCTATGTACATATATCTCCAACCACTGACTTACTCCTTTCAAGATGACAATATATTGATATTAAAATAAAGATGATTTAAAATACTTTTGTTTTTTCTGAAAATATTTTGGAAATGCAATGTTTATGCATTTATAGAATACTGCTTCTAAAAATATGTTTCCTTTATTCAAAAGTTCAGTATTTCATGACTGAGCAACTTCTCATCCACAGCCTATGTAAATTATATTGTAACAATTTAATATGAACAAAACCAGACTTTAAAAATAAGCTGTAGTCTTCTGCCATTGTCCATTTTACACATATTTTCAAAACCCATTGTGGTAATACCAACATGCAAAGAAATTTCCCAAGCTTCCATTTTCATACTCTATCATGAAGACAGAGTCAAATGCTTCTCTGCAGTCATTTTAGATAGATAGATAACCTTTTATTGTCATTTTTTTACTGTGGGCACAATGGCACACATTAAAAATGAAATTTAGTTGCTTGCTCTCAAAGTGTACACATACATGACACACTTTTAAATATAAGTAACATATAAATATTAATCACTGTCCATCTTGAATATATAATGGCAGGAGGAAGCTTTAGCGTTCACAAGGTTAATACTGTATGGAGCAAAACTGTGAATGAATCTGGATGTTCTGCTTCAGATACCACGGAGCCAGGAGGTAACAAGAAAACCAGGTCGTGAAGAGGATGTATAGCAGTGGTGGCGAACCTATGGCACGGGTGCCAGAGGCGGCACTCAGAGCCCTCTCTGTGGGCACGCGCGCCATCGCCCCAGTCCTAGGCCTCCAGCTGGGTTTTATAAAACCTTTTCACTTTAGGCCTCCACTGCCGTGTGCAAAAAAATAAAGGTTCAATCAATCAGTCAATTTCAACTTCTCGCGGGAAAAGAATATCTTGCAAAGTTGGAATTGATTGATTGAACTTTTTAGTCCCACCCAGTCTGCTGTTATCACCGCAGCCACGCACACCCAATGGGCCACACTCACCCAATGGGCCACACCCACCCAATGGGCCACACCCACCCGGCACCCGACGATGCATAAGTGGGTTTTGGGTTGCAGTTTGGGCACTTGGTCTCTAAAAGGTTCGCCATCACTGATGTATAGTGTCCCAATCTTACGGACCCTTTACCAGAGAACCATTGGGGACATATTCTCTGCCCCAGTGAGGCATCAGCAGGGAGGTCTTATATATAACTTCATGAGAGATTGATTTCTGCTCCATTACTACCAGAACCACAGTTATGTGGGAAGTCTTTATTTCTGTGTGGGCTTAAGCACCACACAGTATACACCAAGGACATATTAACAGCATGTTGAAGCTTTCATATAATATAATTCTACTGCCACACAAAGGACCAGGCTCAAATGATCTTATTTGGGACACATTATGCAAAAATCCAGCTCTCTGGAAAGATGTAGTGCTGGGAAAGATGGGGGGGGGGGGGGGAGAAGAGGACAACCAGCAGCAAGGTGGATGGATTCAATTGCAATGGGAATGGGTGCCCCCATTGGGAGACATGACAGAATGGGTTATGGATAAATTATCACAGAGAAGATCTGCCTATGTGGTTACTAGGAGTCAAAACGACTTGATGGCACATAATTAATATAATCATACTGCCATACCAAGAAGTGAATGATTAAAGAATGATAAGTGAGTAGATTACAGTGTTTCCCTAGGAAAGCAGGCAGTGAGTCTCACACGTCCACGTGATCGTTTGCAGGCAGGAATTACTCCATTCCAGTGTTTCTCCACCTTGACAATGTTAAGGCATGTGGACTTCAACTCCCAGAATTCCACAGCCAGCATTGCTGGCTGTGGAATTCTGGGAGTTGAAGTCCACATGCCTTAAAATGGTCAAGGTTGAGAAACGCTGCTCTATTCGTAGAGTTGTAGAGAGCAAGAGAACCAAGAGATGAACCCGAGAATGCTACGTATGGGCTTCTTTAAAGAAGCCTTCTTTAAAGCAGCCTTTCTTCCCAGCGATGCCTTCCAATCTAGTGGACTACAACTCCCATCTCCTCTAGCCAGTCCGTTGGAGGCATCAGGCTGAGAAAGGCTGGGACAAAGCCTAGCTTCTGTGCCATCCAGAAATAGGAGGGATGAGCCGCCCTTCACGCACCTACACACACACACGCACACGGCAAGCGCAGCGGGGTGAACCAAAGGCGAGGGACACCTCGACCCGGCAGGCCTGTCCGGCGACGGGGAGTCCAGGGTTCGAGGCGGGCGCTCAGGAGCGGCGAGCTGCGGGGCACGCGGCCTACACTGGCCTTTTTCCTTCCGCCCGAAATAAACCTCGCCGCCGCCGCCTCGGTCTCCCAGGAACGAGGGAGGTCCCGCGACCGTTACCTTTTAGGCGCTGCCTGCTCCATTCTGCGGCCAGAGGCTCCCCAGACGGTCGGCCCCACCAAGGCGCGGTGCTCTGCTGCCACCCTGAAGGGGCCGGACAAGGACCAATCAGGGAGCCCGAAGAAGCACCCCCCTCGGGAAACTCTGCCCGCAACTTTCTTCCGCTACTGGCCCTTTAAAAATCAAGCACGCCTCCTCTCCCAGGGGGCCGTCGCCGGACTCCCAACACTTCAGCTGAACGCTCGATGGCTACTCTAGAAATACCGCCCCTCCAGCCCTCCAATTGGCGGAGAACGCGCGGCTCCAAAACGCGCATTGGCCTTTCCAACTGCCAGCCGGAACTCCGGAGAAGACGGAAAAGAAAGTTGCTTCAGGCCGAGCGAAACTGCATGGTGCAATGCGATAGCGGCCGGCGAGGGAGTTGGTGTGACGTCATGGGCGGCGGAACGCGGAGGAGAAAGGTCCTCTTTGCCCATCATGCGCCGCGCCAATGAGTTGCTTTTGGAGAAGGATGCATCTTGGGTTATGTAGTTTTTATTTGTGTGCGCAGGTTTAGGGTGTTTAATTATCGCTATGAGCTACTGAATCCCTTGCAGCGTAGTATTTATTACTTCTGAGTAAGTGGCGTGTTTGCACGACATAGTGACCCTTGGTTTACTGAACCATGCTTCCCTGAATTCAACCAGAACTCTAGATTCATTCACACAACCCACTGAACTCAAAATAGCCAACTACATTTTAACCTAGGTCTATGTTTCTCAATCTTGGCAAATTTATATGTGTGGATTTCAACTCCCAGAATTTCTCATCCAGCTTAAAGTTGCCGAGGCTGAAAAAAAAACCACTGACCTAGAATGTTGTTCAAAACCAGTGTCATAATCACAAGTCCTTTTGATTTGATCCAGTATATTGAAGAAAACCTGTACGTACAATATATTTCAACAATATAAGTGCCAACATCCAGCTCAAGAATCCAAATAAAACTCCAGGTTCATTCTGTTTCAGAAAATCTTACTGTTTATTTAATACACAGCATGGTAATGTTGAAGCAAAACTAACTCTGAAGTTCCCAGACACCAACCAGTTCATAGAATTAAACAGTAATTTCTCCTGCCAAACCCACATCGTCTCACATTATCCATGTAAACAATTTCACTGTTATGGAAACTGTCTGCTTCCTCTCCACACCTGCTGCAGTGTCCTTGGAAAGGTTTCAGGCTTTCACGTTTTCAGCGGAATCATAGAGGTTTCATTTCTCCATCTAACCCATTCTAAAGCATCACCTCCTCCCCCCCCTTACTCTAACGGCAAGTTGAAACAAAGAGGCATGTAGTTGCCGAAGTTTCATTCTTGACAATAAGTTGTCATGTACCAGATCCTTGAAGATTTGTAACTTTTAAGCAAAACTGCAGAGCTAAACTTTTCATCTATTTCCTAGTTTCAGGGACTTTGTTTCTCCCATACACACCTACCCGTTTTATCCCATATTTCTCTCTTCTCACTCACTCTCCCTGAGGTTTGGACAGACAACAACAATATATTTACTCTCCCAAAAGGAAAAAATTCCTAAGTGTATGTGCAGCTAAATGTTTTCAGAATGTCTGCAGGTATCATGACAAGCAATCTGGAACATTCAGTGGTAGAGAGGAACTGCAAAGGACAGTTCTTACAACAGCAGGTTTTAAGCAGATCTAATGTTAGTAGGATTGTGCACAATCTCTGGTCATTCTTAGGAAGGCCACAGAATAAAAATATAGGCTATCCACTTGTTTTTTAAGTGTGCAGATATTTCCCTTTAAAGCATGACACAGAAATGTGTTACTCTTATTAATCTACCAAATGGCACGTTCTATTCTAATTAGAGCTATCAAAATTCTTTGCTTGCATCAATCAGAATACTTGAGCAACATGAAAGTTTCATAAGAATGGGATAATTAACTACCTTGACATATGTTGCAAATCTAATTCGGTGAAGTGTTGGAGATCTAATGTTCTCTTTGCTGATTTGATTTCACAGAAGGTGGGAGAAGGAACAGTGGGATCTGCAATCCTGCACCCACTTCTTATAACAAGAAGAAATCAGTTGAATAAAGGTAAATGGAATCTTCAGAAAAAGTGCCCATGTTATTCTTGAATTCATGTCAAAGTGAGGAAAAATAGAGAACAGTCAGGTCTGTATACTAGATTTTGAAATTCTGAAGAAAAAGTGTAACTAGAGGGGATGGGAAACCCTACGAAATAAGATACTAAAGGTGCAAATACAAACAATTCCCACTAGAAAGAAAAATGGAGAACATCTAAATAGATTGGTATGGATACATAAAGAGCTTTCTAATATGCTATAGAGAAACAGTCTGCCTTCCACTAATATTCTTATCCATGACATTTACAACTAAAGCCTTTTTGTTGCATTGGTGTAGTTTAATTTGATACTGTGGTGAAACATGTCTGGCCTGGCTTTCCACGTGTTGAGATGGCTAGGGTTGTTTAGCAATCCTACAGACACATCATCTTTGTCCTAGATTTTGATCTTGGCCGCTTCTGAGTTTCTCATCATGTGCACAGCCCTTTCTTTGATTAAAATATCTCTACATTTTTTTGATCTTGTATGGCTTCTTTCAGTTACTTATGATCTGGCTAGTGTCGGCTTCAAATAGTGCCTAGCCATAGGGGCTTTGGGCAGCCTCATTTCCTTTTACTGCCAGCCATTCAGAGCATAACTGCCTTTTCTAGTGAGTTTGAGCGCTTGACATGGCTGAAATAAGTAAGGCAACATTTTGTGATTTTTGCCTTAGGCAGCTTGGGAACAGAACCTTGTCCAAAGTGCTCCCAGTCAATCTGACCCTGAGGTGTCACATCTGCTAACTCAGAATGTACAATCAACTGCTTTTCCATTTAGCCATCTTGTAGCAGATTCCCAGGCATTGTTGCCCTGTCATGAAATCAAGCACTTTCATAAATCTGCAAGTGGGGAGCGGAACAACCAATTTTTCATCAGGTTTTCACGTCAAGGAGATAAGCATCTTTATCCTCAGCAGCAATAGCAAATGGATAACATTTGCTGTGCTTGGATCCCTATATCCAGCACAGAATTGTTTATGATCAGAATGGCTTATAAGCACAATAAAATAAGCAACTAAAGTAAGCAAACATAGCTTTATTCTCTTTACAAAAATGTTTCTACAATACCACGTGTTAATCCAATATTAACCATAACTACTTTATTCCATGTAGGGAAAAAAGCTGGAACTATATGTAGTAGGCTAGATAAAATATTCTTGTGCTTGATGTTGCTATCCATTTAATCAGGTCCAGTTTTCATCCATTCTCCATATTTCCCGATCTTGTAGGGCTTCTTTCAGTTGTTTTATGCTCTGACTGGTGTTGCTTTGATGGTGGCTAGCCACCATTTTTTGGCATCCTTTTATTGCTGACTGTTCCAAGCATAACTACTTTTTCCAGTCAGTTTGAGTGCATGACATGACTGAAATAAATTATCATGGTTCCGATAGATGAAATCCATCAAAAGAACTTCAAGACAAATTTCTTCCTTAAAGAACATTTTATTCAGGAGACAAAATATTGGCACTACATAGTTGAACTCAAAAACTAAACTCCCCTCCCCCGAATACAAATAACAAAGTGTAATTCCCACCCCCAATAAGCTGTCATAAATCACATTCTCCAATTAGTTTAAAACACGGGCTTCCTCCCTAGCTTCTCAGCCCACCAAAAAGCTATCAGCTTGTCCTTGGGTTCCCACAAAGCCACATTATTATTATGGCTAGCTGAGCTTTCATTCCAAGCCTCCTTACCGTACCTAATTTCTAAATACCAGAAAAGCATGTTAAAGAAAGAGAGAAAATGGCTGCATTTTCATCAGTTGTCAGAGCGGGAACATCCAATGTTAGCAGCGATGACATAAATAAGGCAGACGTTTATGATTTTGCCTTCCCAGAAATATGTCTGATGTTGTTATTGTGCTTAGAGCTGGGATTTAAATAATAAATGGGATTTAGATTAGTCATCATTAATTTGTCTCCACTTCCTTGATTTCAATAGACCAATAGCCAACAGAGCCATTCCTTGCCTGCCTTTCCCTCTGTTGTTGTTGTTGTTGTTGTTGTTGTTGTTGTCTTTCTCTTTACCAGTATCACCTACTGGCAGGAGACATGCACTAACTGGATTTCTGTAACAAAGAGGAGCTACCACAATGACCTGATGCCTTTCAGCTTGGCATCCTTCATTACTGTGTAAATTTAAGTCTGTCTTCTTATCCTGTTGCTACACACACACACACACACACACACACACTTCATTTTATTTCTAAGAACTCAAGGTACTCTATCTCTAAAAGATTGCAAGTTTTATCTGAAAAGCAGAATTGATTACAGGTAGTCCTCGACTTACGATGACAATTGAGCCCAGAATTTATGTTGCTAAATGAGAAATTTGTTAAGTGAGTTTTGTCTCATTTTACGACTTTTCTTGCCACATATGTTAAGTGAATCACTGCAGTTGTTAAATTAGTAACATAGTTGTTAAGTGAATCTGGCTTCCCCACTGACTTTGCTCGTCAGAAAGTTGCAAAAGGGGATCACATGACCCCCGGGATACTGCAACTGTCATAAATTTGAACCACTTGTCAAACATCTGAATGTAAATCACGTGACCATGGAGATGCTGCAACAGTCATTGGTGTGAAAAATGGTCACTTTTTTCAATGCCGTTGTAACTTTGAACCATCACTAAACAAACTGTTGTAAGTCGAGGACTACCTGTACACTGGGTGCAAGAAAATCTGTTGAAATTCAAAAGGAATCTTTGAATATTCAAAAATATTTCTTTCTGTGTTTCTCAATATTGACTTCATTTTGTAAAAAAAATTATGATTGTAAGAATGGTGATTGTAAGAATGGTGCATTGTGCTTGTATTTGGCAGGTGATTGGGGGGAAAGGGAAAAAGAAGTGTGCTGTGAGAAGCAATTGGGCTGATATCCAATCAAATACTTCATCATTTTAAATAGAGAAGTAAAGAATCCTAACAGAAAGGGCAAACACCACACAAAATATAAAGAAGTACATAGCTAACATTAAATGCTTCCAGTGTTGGAGCATTCACAACTTCTGGAGGCAAGTTGTTCCACTGATTAATTGTTCTGTCAGA